GTAGGATATGTTTTCATTCTCATTTGATTCTATGAATTTCTTTATTCCATCCTTAATTTCTTCTATAACCCAGTAGTTTTTAAGCAAGGTATTGTTCAGTTTCCATGTATTTGATTTTTTTTTCCTTGCTTTTTCTGTTGTTGATTTCTACTTTTATGGCTTTATGGTCAGAAAAGATGCTTTGTAATATTTCAATGCTTTGGATTTTAAGGCTTGCTTTATGGCCTAATACGTGGTCTATTCTGTAGAATGTTCCATGTAAGTTGGAAAAGAAATTATACTTGGCTGCTGTTGGGTGGAGTGTTCGGTATATGTCTGTGAGATCAAGTTGGTTGATTATAGTGGCTATGCAGGTCTCATCAGTCTCTCCTAAGACATTCTCTTCCCTTATACACTGTGTGAAATAGACCTGGGAGTAGTACAACACTTGACTAGAAGAAGTTTCTATAAGTTTTTCCTACCTCTTTCCTGTTTAGTAAAGCTTAGTGATTCGGTGCTTGACCTCCAGAGTTCAACTCCCTGGGTTCAAATCTGAGTCCTGCTACTTATTAGCTGTGTAATCTTGAACAAGTTTTTAATACCTGTTTGTTTGTTTTCTCATTAATAGAATGAGAATCATTAATTTAGATTAGGTACTTTTAAAGCTTGTTAAAGTCTTTCTGCGAAAAGCTTTAAGCAAGGAAGATCTTACCTAATCCCCACCCAGGAGAAGGGGCTGGGCCTTGTGTTCTTTGAGCAGAGGTCCATTTGAGGATGCTCAGTTTTGGTGATGCGTCAGAGAATTCTCCCTGATTCCTTTCTTTTTAAACCCCTCATCCTACTTAACCCCTTTTCTTTGATTCCTTAAGTATCTTTTCAGAGCTGAAGACTGCTGCAGGCTGCTGTTCAAGGCTGTGCAGTTGCTAAAGTCCAGCCTTTTCTACCCTCCTTATGTGTCCTGGAGGCTCAAGACTGCAGGCAGCCTGTGGAAAGGGACACTCTTTAAAAGAATTCATTTATTCAAAGGAGATGTCCTTTTTGCCATTGCACACAGTCCCTGCCTGTGCTGGTTGCTATCCTGACTTCTGTCTTTCTGTTCCCTTCTAGGGTGGTGTTGATGATGAGATCTCGTTGAGTGCATACATCACAGCTGCATTGCTGGAGATGGGAAAGACCATAGACGTGAGTTTTTCTAGCTCTTCCTCTTTATATTCTTCCTATCACAACTATCCCTAGAGAAATTCCCCTCTCTTTGCCCAATTCACCTTTTAATCAGGAGAAAGATGTGATGATTTTCATATTGCTTCCCATTTTACAAGGAATGCCTTATAAATTGTTATTCGTCTTCACTTTTCAGTACCCAATGGTGAGTCGGGGTCTGCAATGTCTCAAGAATTCTGTCACTTCCACCACCAACCTCTACACACAGGCCCTCCTAGCTTATACTTTCTCCCTGGCTAAGGAAATGGACATCAGAAATAGTCTTCTTGAAAAATTAGATCAACAGGCTATCATCTCAGGTATGTTGGTCAGGTTAGGAGTACTTTAGAAACTGTGAAATATGATGTGAGTTATCTATAATTTTCTCCAGTGTCCTCATCCCACATATATTCAATTCTGAGATTCATTTTAGTAGTATTGGTAAGTCATAAAATCATCATTGGGAACTTTGAGGGAAAGCCCATGTAAGTCTTCATTGGGCAGTGTTATACTTGTTATCTTGAAGAGAAACTAGGTGATAGAAGCTAGTCAGAAAATTTATTGACATTGTAGAATCACCTTTTTGGAAGTCTTTAAAAATTCTTTGGAGTCCGTGGGTGGTACAAACGGTTAGCACACTCAGCTGCTAACCAAAAAGTTGGAGGTTCAAGTTCACCCACAGGCACCTCAGAAGGAAGGCCTGGTGATCTACTACCCAAAAAATCTGCCATTGAAAACTCTATGGAGCACCATTCTACTCTGACACACATAGGGTCACCAAGAGTTAGAATCGACTCAACAGCAACTGCTGGGTTTTTTTTTAGTGTAGGATCACTGAGGCTGTATCTTAAGATGGGATGAGAATTAAACTTAGAGATTTTTCAAGTTCTTTAAAACTTTTGAATGTATTTGGAGTAATATTTGAAGTTCTAGCAGATATTATAAATAAGATATTAATGCATCTCACTTATCTAGCTATATATTTGAAATTATATTTCCAGGCAGAAATTTAATCTCAGCTTTCATTTATACAAGTGTCATTGCTGAGTTCTCCTCTCATATGGCCTCTGGATAATTTTCTTGCTAGTGTGTAAGTAACTCTAGTCATAAAATGGTTGTCTCCGACAGTGGGTGGACTATATCCTTACCAATTGTTTATTGATTTAATGTGATTATGTCTTCTCCATTATCTTGCAGACTTACATGTGTTCTGTTATGATCTTCCAATTAGATTGCCTTCTATGGGTTATTCATTCTTTGTACTTCTATTTAAATAGGCTTGTTGCTCCCACTCTTATTTCCATTTGTTTTTCTTTTACTTGAGTTGGCTGTCATAGCGTTTTGGTCTCCTATTCTATTTGATCACCTTCTAGTATTTCCTTAGCATTTCTTCTGTGGTTTCTCAGAGTTATTATGCATGTTCTACCATTTTTATTCTTCTAAAAATGTTAAACCCTTGATTAAGTAAAATAAATATCGACAAATTAATGAAATTCTTTGAGTCAGGAAATGTCCCCAAACACATAAGACTCTTAACAGACATTTCTACTTACTTATCTCTGATAGCATCAGAATTTATAAATTAATAAAGATGGTTTTCCTGTAATTGCTGGAGGCTGGAGCATTTATTGATGCTCCCAGCTAAACCATATCTTGGGGATTTATGTGTGGCTGTACACACACACACACACACACACACACACACTTCTCTGCATCCTGCATATACATTATAGCCAATAAATTAGCTAATTCTGAGAAACAGTTGTTTCTAACCTAGGGTTAATTCTTGATTAGGACTTTTCTCTGCTCTAAAGTACAGCATTTACAAATGGAATATGGGAAAGCCAGTTCCTTCCAAGGTCTTCCTCATTATGCTTCTTTCTCCCTAGGAGAGTCTATTCACTGGAGCCAGAAACCTCCTCGGCCATCGAATGCCACGTTTTGGTCTGAGCCCGAGAGTGTAGATGTGGAGCTCACAGCATATGTATTGTTGGCCCAGCTTATCAAGGCCAGCCTGACTCAAAAGGAGATAGCAAAAGCCACCAGTATAGTGGCTTGGCTGGCCAAGCAACGCAATGCATATGGGGGCTTCTCTTCGACTCAGGTAAACTGCTTGCTCTCCTCACTGCCACTTATCAGATAAGATTAGATTCTGTGTGGAGATAAAAGAAAAAATATTGCCCTTACCCTCTAAATCCAGGATCTTACAATTCTAGAGTCAGAAAAAGCATGTGAAAAATAACAGAAGGACTCATAAAATTGGATCACATGAGCACGTAAATAGTACCAGATTTGTTTAATCCTCTTTTTTTGTAGAGTATGAAACATCATGAGATCCATGTTTTACATGTAAATAGGACGTACATAATTATGGCTAAATTTATGTATTAATAAATCAGAAAGTCAATTTTGGGGTCTGTAAACATAAAATCATATATGATGAGCATACCTCTTTCTTCTGCTGTTACAGGGATTGGGAAGCAAGAAAGATATAATCTCTACCTTAAAAAGTTTACAATATAGAAGGAAAGCTAGGACAGGCTCTATGTACTATAAAACAGGATCTGGTTATAACACAATAAAGTACAAAATGCTATACAATTCCAAAAGGGAAAAAGAACTCACATCAGCTTGAGGGATAAGAAAAGTCTTCACAGAGGAACGGCATTTGCTGTAAATCTAAGGGATATGTAAAATTTGATAGGCAGCTATTGAAAGGAAGAGGAAATCGTGTGAATAATTACACCAATTTGTAAAAGTGTAGGATGGCCTTTGGGAAAACTGGTTTAGCTAAATCACAGTAGATTTTAAGTTGGAAAGGTAAGGTAGTTTCATATTATGAAGGCCTTGTATTTCAGACTCCACTTTGTACCTAATTCTGGGGAGCTATTAATTTTTTTTTAACTTTATTTCAGAAAGATTAATCTGGAAGTTGGTGTAGGGGACAATTTAGAGGAATAAGATGTTGGACTTGAAGAGATCAGGAGACTGTTTCATTTGTCTAGTTTAGGGGTAAAGAGAAATTGAATTAGTGTGGTGGGAGTAAGAAAAGAGGGTTAGGATTGGATAATAAAGTTCAAATGGTGTCATAAACAAAATTCTCTTGCATTACTACGAAGAGAGAAGTCATCCATTCATTTGTTCTGCAAATATTATTACATACCCACTATGAATCACTGTGATGCAGATACAGAAGTAAACAAGTATACATTATTTCTTGTTCTCACAGAGCTTACACTCTGACTTGTTGAAATCAGGTTGAGTTTCACTGAGGATGTAACGTGTAAATGAACAGATTTTTTAATAGATGGAATATCTGGTAAGGGCGTTAAGAGCCCCAAGTTTAAATTTGAGAATGACCTATTTGGGATTTTTAAAACTTTCATGGTACTATGCCACCCTGTTTCAGGGAAATTCTTGGCCAAAGATCAGGAGACACTCATTATAACCCATAAAAATATCTTTAGAAAACAGTGGGTAAAATATTTAGAACTCTCAGTGACAGATATATGTCAGAATTGTTTTTCAATAAAATCCTTGGCTATTACAAGAAGTCATGTGTCACATATCACCCACACTAGTTTTTCAGCTGGTGAGGTCCATTTCCTTGAATTATTTCCATACGTACAAGCAGTAAAAAACTCCCTGCTTACGTTTCCCAAAGGCTAGACAAAAAGTTGTTTGTAGATGATCAAGCTGCATAGATATAACCTGTTCACATCTTACCCAGGGTGGGTAACCTATCTTCCTATTTTAAATGACAGTGATGGCACCTAAATACAATTGTTCTTTTTCATTTGGAATGTAAAGAAGTGGGGTTCCTTTATTCTGAAATAGATATTTTACAAAATATCAAGCATGTAGAAATTCTCATGATGTAGAGCAAGATATGATAGTTTTGCTGAACTCCTCATTCTTTTTTCTTTCTCTCCTCTAGTTGTAATTTATATAAATCATGTTTTTACAATGGAAAGATTCAAACTTTGTGATTCCACGCTCTCTTAGTGACAGTTTACCTGTCTTAACCCCAGATGAAGAAAAGATTGTCATATGCCTGTCCAGAGGCAAGATGAGAAAGCAGAGAGGGTCAAGAGCTGGTTAAATGGGCATGGGAAATCCAGCGTGGAAAGGGGGAGTGTGCTGTCACAGTATGGGGAGAGCAACTAGGGTCACATAACAATGTATTTATAAATTTTTGTATGAGAGACTAACTTGAATTGTAAACTTTCACTTACAGCACAACAATAAAAAAAAAAAAAAAGATTGTCATATGGCATAATGGTTAAGAAGGCTTGGCCTGCAAGGAAGGACTTTCCAAGGATCCCTGCTACTCTCCCCAACTGTGACATAGACTATTACGCAGTTAAATAATTTCATGAACAGTCCAATTTCTATGGCTATCAAACTGCTGCTGTTTCCTTCCCAAATAAGGAAGCTGCAAAATATATAAAGAACAGTTAGTTACACATTTATTTCTAGCAAAGGAGTAGCCCGTTCTGAAGCTAGGTATCTAGGTATGGTTTCTGAATATGAATATATTAGATTAGCCAAAAGACCTATGGCTATTCAATAGTAACTTGCTGAAGGTCATTTTCTATGCAAGGAAATATATTTTGATTTTATGTCAGCTTCCCCAGGTGAGGTGAATGTGATTCTCCGGATACCTAGAAGGGTATCATCCAAGCCAGCTAACAACAACCAGATGTAATGGATTTATAGGGTTGTTTGAGGTTAATTCCAGTGGTTCACAAAATGGTAAGCATATGCTTGTTTTTCTTCTTCCTCAGGATACTGTAGTTGCTCTCCAAGCTCTTGCCAAATATGCCACCACTGCCTATGTGCCATCTGAGGAAGTCAACCTGGTTGTAAAATCCACTCAGAATTTCCAGCACACTTTTAATGTGCGGACAGTTAATCGGTTGCTATTTCAGCAGGAGACTCTACCTAATATCCCTGGAGTGTACACCTTGGAAGCCTCCGGCCAGGGCTGTGTCTATGTGCAGGTAAGCAAAGACACATGCGAAAGAAGTCAAGCTGGGAAGGAGAATCTGAGGGTAGCTTTGCCGCAAGTGGAATCTTCTCTATCTCCCTTTCTTACTCGTCAGGAAAGTAGTTTGAACTGTACAATCTCTAAAGTTCTTCCCAACTCTGATTGGTTATCTATTTCCTCTTATCAGACGGTGCTGAGATACAACATTCTCCCTCCTAAAAATGTGGAGACCTTTAGTCTTAGTGTGGAAATTGGAAGAGCTAGATTTGACAAACTTACTTCACCTCAATCATTGACTCTTAATATCCACACCAGGTGAGGAATTAGGGAGGTAGAAAGCTGGGATGGTCGAGGGGGGACCTGGATCACAGGAACTGGGCTGGAATGTGTTTGTGCTTGTGTGTGCGTGTGTGTGTGTGTGTGTGTGTGTGTGTGCTGGGGATGCAGAATGCACTGAGAGAGGAAATAAGGGCTCACACAGGTTTGCTTCTTCCTGCGCTCAGTTATGTGGGAAGTCGCAGCTCTTCCAATTTGGCCGTTGTGGAGGTGAAGATGCTATCTGGGTTCAGTCCCATGGAGGGCACCAATCATTTAGTAAGTAGCTTCTGTTTTCTTCATTTAACTAGTCCCCGTGGGACCTAACTTTATTAAAAAAAACTGGTGAAATGGGCATCATAGTATATATCTATAACTCATGACTAGATTATCTAAATTGCCTTCAGAGGTGCATCGATCATATGAACTGGAACCTCTAATCATCTTGGCCCTTTTTCCCTACCTTTCCCACAGTATATATTGTTTTCTTGATGATGACAAAGCTTTGGAAGATTATCCTAAGGGATAGAGAAGGCTCTGGCTTTTAGCGCTCCTTTTTTCCTTTTCTATTCAGCTCCTCCAGCAAGCACTGGTGAAGAAGGTCGAATATGGAACTGATACACTTAACATTTATTTGGAAGAGGTAAGTATTCAACATCTAGACCAAAGAGTTTCATTTCTTCTGCATTTTTGTGACCCCCCCCCCAAATCTGTACACACTAGCGTCACACACACACAGGGACGAGGGACCTGAGTGAGTCTACATCCATGAAATGAATGTGAAATGGGTGGTGGAGGAAGGAAGTTAGAAATACCTATCACAACCTTGTGACCACTTGCAGAAATAAAGACTATAGAATACCTAATTTTCTTTCTTGTTCTGCTATGTATATATTTAAGCTATTTTTTTTTCTTTTCCTCCATGCTGGTGTAACATGAAACACCCCGGCGTACCCCTAGAGCAGTACCGTCCAATAGATATACAATGCCAGTCACTTATGTCATTTTAAAAGGTCTTGTAGTCATGTAAAAAAGTAAAAAAAAAAAAACAGGCGAAATTAATTTTAGTATATTTTATTTAACCTTATGTATCCAAAATATATAGCCCTGGTGGCATAGTGGTTAAGAGCTACGGCTGCTAACCAAAAGGTCGGCAGTTCGAATCCACCAAGTGCTCCTTAGAAACCACATGGGGCAGTTCTACTCTATCCTATAGGGTCACTATGAGTCGGAATCAACTCGATGGCAACGAGTTTGGTTTTTTGGTTATCCAAAATATTTTCATGTCAACCATGTAATTAACAAACATAAGTATTAATGAGATATCGACATTCTTTTTTTTTCCTATACAACATCTTTGAAATCCAGTATGTATTTTACCAGGAGCCCTGGTGGCACAGTGGTTAAGAGCTTGGCTGCTAAAAAAACAATTGGCAGTTTGAGTCTACCAGCTGCTCTTTGGAAACCCTATGGGGCAGTTCTACTCTGCCCTATAGGGTCGCTATGAGTCGGAATCGACTTGATGGCAATGGGTTTAGTTTTAGTTTTTTATGTATTTTACCATTACAGCACATTTCTATTCTGACTGGCCACATCCCAAGTGCTCAAAGGCCACATATGACAGTGCAGCACCAGGATGTAACAGTGGTTAATAGGAGAGGCTCTGAAGCCAGACTACCTGGGCTACAATCCTAGTTCTAGCATTGACTATATGACCTTAGGCAAATTATTTAATGTCTCTGTTTCCTCAGCTATAAAATGGGGATGGGTAGTGGCAAAAAGAATATCTCTCTCGTAGAGCTATTGGGTGGTCCTTTGGTTTTATCTTTTCCCTAACACCATATAAGGCTGATATTGTCTAAAATATTAGTTCTGGAGTATTATGTATGTATTTCCCCTTTTCTCTTTATTTCTCACTTTTTTCTCTTTTTTAAGACTACAGTAAATGCTACTGTATTAGTTTCCTAGGACTTGTTGTGTGCTGTCAAGTCAATTCTGACTTACAATGACCCTATATGACAGAGTAGAACTGTCCCATAGATTTCCCAGGGAGAAACCATCTCTTTACAGAAGGAGATCTCTGGGTCTTTTCTCCCGCCCAGTCGCTGGTGTGTTCGAACCCCTGACCTTTCTTTCAGTTAACAGTTGAGTGCTTAACCATTGTGCCTCCAGCGCTGCTGTAACAAAATACTACAGACTGGATGCATTAAAACAACAGACATTTATTCTCTGACGGTTCTGAAGGCTAGAAGTTTGAAATCAGGTATTGGCAGGGCCATGCTTTCTCTGAAGCTCTAGGGGAGAATCTGTTGCATGCCTTTCTTTAAGCTTCTGATGTTGCTGGCAATCTTTGGCGTTCCTTGGCTTGTAGATACATCACTCCAGTCTCTGTCTCCATCATCACATGGCGTTCTCGCCATGTGTCTGTATCTCTTCTCTTCTCATAAAGACACCAGGTCATATTTGATTAAGGCCCACCCTAATCCCATAAGACCTCATCTTAACTTGATTAAATATGCAAAGACCTCATTTCTAAATAAGGTCACATTCACAGGTACGGGGGTTAGAAGTTCAACATATCTTTTTTGGAGACCCAATTCAATCCAGAACAATTATCGAAACAGTTTGTTACTCTTGTGTCTCCTATGTCTCTCAGTGTTTCCTGGATTTGTTTCTCATACTAAGTACCTCCTCTGAATGAAGCCAGTTATCATAAACTTTAGAATCGTATTTATAAAATCATGCAGAATAGGCTCACCAATCCTCCAGCCTTTCTCCTTTTATGGCTCATCTCCTTTTCTCTGCTCTTCTCTTCTCCATCACATACTTCCTCATTCTTTTCTTATTGTCACATCCATCTTTCCTTTTAATATCCTTGTTTTGCCTTCCTTATTTCTTAACCATTTATCTTTCAAAAGTATCTTTTGATAAAAATACTTTTTTGGAAAGGTTAGCGTTATTCAGAAGGCAACACATTTTGGGAGGAATTGGGGATTGGGGAGGGCAGAAGGAGGAGGGAGTGGGGCTATGGAGGCATTGACATGAAAGGACTTCAGATTTTGATGAAGCACTTTCAGAATAAAACATTATTAGATGCTGAATTAGTCCCTGAGTGATGCAAATAGTTAGTCACTCGACTACCCTTCAGAAGAAAGGCCTGGCAATCTGCTTCTGGAAGTTCATAGCTTTGAAAACTCTATGGAGTGCAGTTCTACTCTGTACGCATGGGGCCACTATGAGTCAGAATCTACTGGTTTGGTATTTTTTGGCTTTAGATGCTGAATACTGAAATCAGCTATTTTTTTAAGGTGAAGAAAAGGTCATTTACTTTAAATCTACGTGGTAACCAAATGATGGACAAGAATAGCAGTTCTAAAAATTTTTGGTTTAAGGACCCCTTTACACTGTTAAATTACTGAGGACCTCAAAGTTTTTTTGGTTATGGGGGTTATATTTATTGATATTTATTATATTAGGAATTAAAACTGAGAAAAAATTTAAAATATTAATTAAATATTTAAATATTAATCTAAAAACAATAAGAAAAAACCACTACATCTTAACATAAATAACATTCTTATGAAAAATAACTATATTTTCAGATACAAAAATATAATAAAAATAGCAACATGTTTTACATTTTTGCAAATGTCTTTATTATTGGCTTAATAGAAGAGAGTAGAATTCTCCTATCTGCTTCATTCAGTCTGTTTCAATATCATACATCAAGTAGCCTCTGGATAACTCTCCTGTACATTTGTAAGAGAATGTGAGTGAGAAAACAAATAATGTCTTAGTAGTATTCTGAAAATAATTTTGACCTCACAGAGCCCCTGATATAACCTTGAGTATCCCTGAAGGGTTACACACTTTGGGAACCACTGTTCCTAAAGAATTTTGGAAATCCCTTCCAATTAAGTGTTTATAACTCCTTACCTATATTTATAATATGAATCTTATTTTCTTGTTATATTAGATTAATTTATACAGTTGTCTTAGATTCTTCATTTATTCAACAAATAATTATTTAGCAACCAGTATGTGCCAGGCACTTTTCTAAGTGATGAAGATACAGAAGGGAAAAAGGTAGGATAATGGTCTTTACCCTCATGGGGCTTATATGCTAGCAAAGAGAGAAGAAATATGCAAGTTTTTAAAAAATGACATACACACACACACACACACATATAACACGTGTGTATATATTTTTGTCAGTATATATATATTTTTTCAGTATCATGTGTATACATACATACATGTATATATATACATATTTGGTAGTAACTTCATTAGTAATAAGTGCTATGCAGGATAAGGGGATAGAGAAAGATGATGGGAAGTGGGCCAGCAATGTGGCTGTTTCAAAATAAGGCGATCAGGGAAAGTCTCCCTGAGTACGTGTCATTTGATCAGAGACCTGAATGAAGAGAAAAAGAAAACCAATAAGGAGCACAGAACTGTTGGAGTAAAATAACAGTCTTTATTTCTTTAGCCACTTTAAGTCAGGTTAGAGTTGACCTTGAGTAGAATGAACCCTTTTATAGGAGGGCTAGGGAGCTGTAGGGTAAGAAGGAAGAGGTAGGAAGTCAGCAGGAGGCAGTATCTTTAAGATGGGCATGGGCAGAAGGGATAGGTAAAAGGATTTCAGATAATCTGTGAAGAAAGCAAGGGTCCTATGTAATCCCCACACTACATTTCATCCTCCTTTTAACGTGATGTTTCTTCTGTCTTCCCCACAGCTTGGTAAGAAGACTCAGACTTACACCTTCACCATCAACCAAAGGGTGTTGGTCACCAACCTGAAACCAGCAACCATCAAAGTCTATGACTACTACCTACTAGGTGAGGGCTGTCACCACCAGCTGAGCTCTCACCTACATCTTCCAACATATTCCTGCCTCATTCTTCATGGTATCCTTCTTAATTTTACAAACACGCCTTCCCAAACCAAGTACCATATACTTACATTATCTAATTTCCTAAAACATTTTAATTCAATTTTATGCCATTTTTAAAAAGTCTTCTACACTAGAGACATTTCATATGACTTATTCCATAAACAAAAGAACATTGTGGACCAATGTTTCTCTAAGGGCTGACTATTCTTAATATTTTTACCGTAATTAACAACTAGCTGGATCATTTCATTTCTGATTTACCACAAGCATGCAAATGTTACTGATTGAAACTTACTATAATTTTTTTTTTTAATTGTACTTCAGGTGAAGGTTTACAGAACAAATAGTTTCTCATGAAACAGTAGTACATATATTGTTTCATGACATTGGTTAACAACCCCAAGACATGTCAACCCTCTCCCTTCTCGACCTTTTTTTTTTTTTTGAAAATATACATAGCCAAAGATACACCGTTTCAAAAATTTCTACATGCACAGTTCAGTGACATCGACTACGCTCTTATTTTGTGCTGCTATTCTCACTTTAGATGAAGGTTTACAGAACAAAATAGTTTCTCATTGAACAGTTAGTACACATGTTGCCCTATGACAATGGTTAACAACCTCACAATACATCAACACTATCCTTACTCAACCTTGGGTTCCCTATCACCAGCTTTCCTGTCCCCTTCTGCCTACTAGTCCTTGTCCCTGGACTGCTGTGCCTCATTAGTCCCATTTGGTTTTATGGGGCTGTCCATGAAACTTACTATAATTTTGAGTATTCTCACAACCTGTAGAGATCCTCTGAAAAGAGCGAAAGCAGTGTGCTTTTATGAAACATTTCTCTCTGAATGTATGAGGCCCTCAATGTAATGATACGTGTCATTTCATTTTACAGATGAGCAGGCAACAGTTCAGTATTCTGATCCCTGAGAATGAGGTGAGTCTGACAGAGAAAAGGGTGGGGTCTTGGGGTATGGTGGTGGTATTCAGAAGTTAAGGGGACACTCTTTTGAATTACTGTATTGTCCTTTGGAAGCATTTTTTTTAAAATAGAAATTGGCCATCCTTTTTTGTCCTCACCTATTGAAGAGAGAGAATAATAATCTCCATAATTCACATCAGAAAAAGTTAATAGTGGCATTTGTGTGAGGGGTTCTGTGTGAGTTATTAAAAGCAATGTATTTTTTTTCTACCACATTGGAAACAGATTGATTTTTTCCTAATTATTTATGCATAATATGTCTTCGTTATATGAAAATACTGAGAAGAAGGTAAAGGTTACCTGATTCCCCTCCCCTGAGATAACACGACTCATAATCTCACCATGCTTTTGTGAGATTTTTTTCTGTATTCCCTGACATCTCTCATAGGACGAAGCCCCTCTACCAATGTAAAGAACTTCTGAATGTCATGACGTATTTTTCTTTTTCTTTTTTTTCAGAATAGAAGCTGGAAAAATACTAAATGAACCCTCTATGACGTTACGGGAGGGAGTAGCATTCTTCTGTTTCTTAAAAGTACATCTTATTCAGTAAAATAATTTGATTTGTCTGATTAGCAAATGAGTGGGTAACAAATGAGCAGGACTGTACCTCAGCTTCTTTATACTATCTCACAGATGCATAGATGCCAGGATAAAGGGTTGGGGGAGATGGAACAAGAATAATCACACAAAGGAGGAATTACAGGGGAAAGATCATGGGGGAGGGAGATGTGGTTTAGCCATTGATTTAGCCATTCAGGGAACTCTCCAGAGAGGAGACGGTGGTAAAGTATAACCTAGCGAAGGTAAGACTGTCTCCCTGGAGGTTATATCTAAAGGCAGATGTGCTTTATGGCTTTTGGTATTGGCTAAAAAATAAAGCTTGAAAAGAAAATCTTTTCACTTTGTTCTGTCATATTTATGTCAATACTACAGGTTCTGTTTAAAAATGATGGTCATCCTTTAACAAAAACTCACAATTTGGCTTTTCCTTAAATCTCTTGATCCAGATCTCTCCATGTTGAAGATATAGGTAGGGGTCAGAGTACCAGTTGCCATGGAGACGATTCTGATTCCTGCCAACCCCATGTGTGTCAGAGTAGAACTGTCCTCCACAGGGTTTTCAATGGCTGATTTTTCAGAAGTAAATCACCAGGGCTTTCTTCCGAGGTGCCTCTGGGTGGACTCCAACCTCCAACGTTTCGGCGAGCAGCAGAGTGCAGTAGCAGTTTATACCACCAAGGACTCTGGGGGTCAGAGGAAAGAATCCTAATTAAGGGGTTCTGTTCAGCCAGCCCACCACCACAGCGCAAACAGTGATTGATAACAAGAAAAGTGACTGGCCAGGGTTCCCTCTCCTTCTCTGCTTCCTTGCTTCGTGATTCTCCCAGCCTTTCCTACACTGGATACCTATCATGTGTAAGCTCTTCCTTGGAGGAATGTATTTGCTTTGTAAACAGAGGTTAGGAGTAAAAGAGATGTAGGGTGAAAAATGATTTATATTTAAATAAACAGAAGATTCTCTGGGCAACTGCACTCTTTTGCCATAGATAGATGTTCACACTCTGTAATTGGTCCCTGGATCTTAAAGTCTGACGGAAAGAGTCAAGAAAAAATAAATCCACGCTGAAGAGACTATTTCCCTAAACCCAGAGCCACATTTGCATAAGCTGTTCATTCCCTGCTCCCTCCACCCTAGACTCTGCCCCGGTGCTGCTTGTTGTTGTGAATTGCTCTCTAGTGGATTCCCACTCATGTTAGGAGTTCCCAAAGTGAGGGGAGATGGGGAGGATACCCAAAGGAGGTCAGCCACAAGGCTCTCTTAGCCCTCAGTATCAAAGGAAGTGAACAGAGAACTCTCAAGAAAAGAGGTAAATCAGGAAAGCTCCTCCCACTCACCCAAAGTCCCACCCCCTGTACATTTTGGTCTTTGGTTCTTGCCAGAGCTTCCTCTCTTTTGAGCTGGGGGAGATGGTGATCCTCAAGACTCAATAAGCTATATCTGGGCAGAACACATTTTTAAATGATTACAAAAACTCTATTCTTGTACCTTTTGGGACTTCAGATGAAAGGAAAAGAAGAGTCTTATGACAAATTACCAGCTACATTGAATACCAAAAACCAGTTGCTGTTGATTCTTTCCTGACTGTTGGTGACTCCATATGTGTTAGAGTAGAACTGTGCGCCATCAGGTTTTCAATGGCTGATTTTTTGGAAGTAGATCGCCAGGCTTTTCTTCTGAGGTGCCTCTGGGTGGATTTGCAGCTGAGAATGTCAACTGTTTGCACCACCCAGGGAAGGATTACAATTTATATTGCTTAGCTTACTGAAATGTAAACATTGTGCATATTCGAGAAACAAGGTGATTAAAAGAGTTAAGTGACATTTCGTTTAAAGTGACACTTACTATTATAGTACTTATAGTAAGTACTCAATACATACATTTGTTATATGCCAACTACTGTATCAAGCCTGAACCCTGGTAGCACAGTGGTTAGGCAGCTAGCTGAAAGGTCCACCAGCAGCGCTGTGGGAGAAAGATGTGGCAGTATGCTTCTGTAAAGATTTACAGCTTTGGAAACCCTATGGGGCACCTCTACTCTGTCCTATAGGGTCTCTATGAGTCAGAATCAACTCGACAGCAATGGGTGTTTTTGGTATCAAACCTGGGGAGGCAAAGATAAATAAAAAGTGATTTTTATTGTCAAGGAGCTCACAGCCTGATGGAGGTGGGAAACAGACAATTTAACAAATTGACGAGTTGCAATACAGTGTGGCAAAAAATGTTGCTAGAAGAAACTACAAGAAGCTGTGGGAAGCCTGGGTGGTGCAAACGGTTAATGTGCTCGTCGGCTAACTAAGAAGTTGGAGGCTCGAATCCACTCAGAGTCACCTTGAAAAACGTCCTGACAACCTACTGAAAAATCAGCCACTGAAAACGTCATGGAGCAGTTCTACTCTAATACTCATGGGGTCGCCATGAGTCAGAGTCATCTAGACAACAACTGATTTTTTTAGAGAGTACATGGTAGAGGCACCTCACCAGGCTGAGGTGGGGAAAGAATGGCAAGGAAAGCTTCTCTGGGTTGATGTCTGACCTGGAATAGTAACAGCCAGAAAATGAAAGGGGAAGCAAGGTTTCAGCAAAGCGAGCTACATGTAAAGTAGAGAGGTGGGACAAAGTATCCTAGGGTAAAATCACCACAAAGTTATAGTAAAGCAAAAAGATTTTATTCTGCGTACGTTCAAAGAGGCAAAAGTGGAAAATGGACAAGCATGCTGCCAGAGCCGTTTCTGTCCGAGTCCAAGGAACGTTACAGAATCATCAGTCTATATTAACATTACAAATGGGTAAAATCATTGAAATCTTCACCTTTTCACAGATTGGCTAAAAACTGCTAAATCACCATGATTTTACATTTTGAAATGTCCTTCTTAATAACCATTAGCACAGGTTTCAGTAATGACAGTCAGGAGGGTCTTCGGTGGTCCAACAAATCTTACTATTTACTAAGCCCTAATAAAACCAGTTACCTAACCAAAAACCAAACCTGTTGCCATCGAGTTGATTCTGATTCATGGCGATCATATAGGACAGAGTAGAAGTGCCCCATAGGGTTTACAAAGGGTGGCTGGTGGATTTGAGCTGCTGGCCTTTTGGTTAGCTACCGAGCTCTTAGCCACTACGCCTCCAGGGCTCCAAAAAGAGATAAGAGTGGAAAACATGTGAGCCTTATGTGCTCTATTTACAATTTGTTTATATGAAAGGTTCCCTAGCAGATGTTTTCCAAGATTGTCCTAGCTATTGTTTTTGTATCTCAGGCCCAGATGATGTGTCCTTTTGAGTCCAGCTTCCAGTTGGGTCACATTCTTTTGGTACTCAAGGACAGGGAATAATGGCTCCAATTTTATCTCCTAAATCAAAAGCATGCCACTTTACCCAAGTAATTCAGTGTACTCAGGGTTAATGTGTGTGTGTGTGCTTGTGTGTACACAGCCTAGACGTTAGATTAGGGAAGTAGAGACAGGCTAGATCATGACTTGCTTTTTAGCAATATTGTGAAGAATGGAGTGGAGAAAGATGGAGCTGAGGTCCTAGAAATCTTTCAGGAGACTGCTGCAATAATCCAGATAAAAGTGGTGAACTGGCACTGGGGATGAAGTTACTTGATTTAGGAGATAGAAGAATCAGGAAGACTTAGTAATATTAAAGACAAAATGCACTGGACCTTTAAGGAGATGATTTTATTCAGGCTATTAATGAGAAATGTCTCAAAGTAAAGGAAAGGGACCTGGGGCTTTACAGAGGCAGAAAAACAACGGAGTCATTCCCAAGTCCAACAGATGTCATGAGGAAAGACGGAGAGGGGCTTCTTTATGCAACAGCAGGGTGGTCCTTTTTAGTTCGCTGTTTCCCAAACACAAAAGGTGGAAGGAATTTTGGAAAACAAACGGATGGGGGGGAGGGTCTTGTAACCATCCTGTTTTCCAGGATCACAGGGCCCAGGTAAAGTTCCACATTGTCAGTGAATAATTGGATGTAAGGAGGAAGTCAGGGATCAATCTGGGAAGATTGCCAGGATTCCAGCCTAAGGGCTATGTGAGTGGTGGTGCCATCCTTTCAGGCAGAGGTATAGAAGAATGAAAAATGGTGTGTTCAACTTAGTATACTGAGTTTGGGAACTTGTGAGGCCTGCAGGTGGAGATGTTGAGCCAGTGGGAAATAAAGGCTCAATTTTTTTTTTTTAATCACATTTTTTTAATTGTGCTTTTGATGAAGGTTTACAGAGCAAATTAGTTTCTCACTAAACAATTAATACACATATTATTTTGTGACATTGGTTGCCAACCCCACGATGTGTCAACACTCTCCCCTTCTTGACCTTGGGTTCCCCACTAGCAGCTTTCTTGTCTCCTCCTGCCTTTTTGACCTTGCCCCTGGGCTGGC